TGAGATCACGAAGGCTGGGTGAATCAAAACCATTCACACCCTTTACTGTATTATGTAGTATGAGTGCGTTTGTCCTGGTGTTAGCCCCTGCTTTCCAGAGAGAGAAAATCTGAAAACAAATATGTTTGTAGTCTGTATTACGTTTCAGGTAATCCTATTACTCTTTCAGTGTGACACAATGTGACGATTCCCCAATGTACAAAAAGAATTATTAGTAAATATTTTCTAGTTTGGTAAAAAAAAAAAAAAGAAAGAAAAGAAAGGGGGACAAAAACAGAGCCCAGCCCCAATCCATCCACTCTGGAAAGAACTACAACATCCACTGTGTGTCAGGCCTCATCACCCAGCGCCAGCATCCGTCCTCATTAATACTGCAGTGGCTGAATGGGAGCGCATACAGCTTCGACATCTGGAGCTAGACGAGTGGGGGAGCGGGTTGATAACATGCAGCGTCTTCTGTCAGGAAGTTTTGATGACTGAGTGCCAGCTCAGGGATAAACGAACACATCAGATAATTTTAGTTAACATTGCTAACTGTGAGATCTGCGCTGGTTTAAATGGGGTTTTCGACTGTTAGTGAAGTGACGGTTACAGTGGCGGTTTTGTTAAGGTTAAGTCGGTCGTGATGGCTAAAAGTTAGCTAGGCATGAGTTCGTGTGTAGAAAGATAAAACATGTGATGATGCATTCTTTCGTCGATGTGCTCATACATTAAGAACCCAGTTTAACCGTAACTAAGGTGTCCACAGACTTTTGGACACATCTTATCAATGTTTAACTGTCAGATATTAAAAAGCAGAATTATAGGAAGCATCAATCGAACTCTCCCTGCAGACGTGTGTGTTTGTGTGCACGTGTGCGTACTGTGGTGATTGTGATTCAGTGCTTCTCCACATGTGACTCCCTGATGATGCTTTTGTTTTTGTTGTGTTTTTTTTTGATGCACTTCCTGCTATGAGCTGCCTCCAGCATTGACCTTTTTTGACCTTTTTGCGTTGATGTTTTGTGGATATTTTCAGCTTTCCAACCGTGTTCTCATTCAGCTGTTCCACTCGTTGTGGGTTTTTGTTTTTTTTTTCATTTCCATGCCCAGATTCAGACGCACGACCGCCACGTGTCCCATCAGCCCCTGCTGCCAGTTTTGTTTTTGTTTGTGTAGAAATGGCTGCCCACCTACGAGACCTCCTCTGACGTTCGTTTCCTCTCTTTGTTTCAGATTAAGGTGGTGAATGCGTTCCGTAGCTCCCTGTACGCGGGGCTGGAGAGCCCAGAGTCCCGTAGCTCCATCCACAGCTTCATGGCCCATCCTGAGTTTGTGCCCCTGTCCGAGGAGGAGGAGGCTCGCATCCCCACCATTAAGGAGACTGGAGACGAAATCGACCCCCTCCCCACCTCCTCATCATTGATCCGGGGAGGAGAAGACTTGCCCACCACCTTCCCCCTCAACCTCGATTAATCCATCTGAGTTCCTCCTCTCTCCTCTTCATCAGCATCATCTGTCACCCCACCAACCGAACTGTCACACCGAGGAAGGGAGTCATGACTCATTCTGCACACACACATGCTTCACATCGTCTCCACCCCCCCTCGGTCATTCCTGCCACATTGTGTTTTTCATACTGACTGTGGCGTCGTTCTGCCTGTAAGTCTGATAGAGTCTCCACAGTGGAAGGCCTCTTCTAGTCCATTCATGTTTTTTTTTTTTCTTCCTTTTTTTTTTTTTAACTTGACATTCTTTTTGAAAAGCTTTTAAACTTTATTGGATTCGATCCTTGCAGGACTCGCAGCAGCAGCATGTTGTGTTCTGTACTCGCTTCATTCCTGCGTTCTCAAACGGCACCGAACTTTTCAAAGAGTGCAGTGAATCAGATGTACATACGCTTCCGCTCTTCTACACAGCTATAAGCCGGGTTTGTTGATCAGAAGATTTTTAGGCAAATGCAAAAATGTAACCTTATTATTATTATTGTTGTTTTTTGTTTTGTTTAGTTTTTTGTTTTTTTTGTTTTTTAGACCTTGATCTTGATTTCTTTTTGAAACCTTCTAACGAATGTCAATCGATGGTTGATTCAGACTCCTGAGAATGTCTTGTGAGTGTGACACTACACCTTTCAAGGTTAAAATAATGTTTTTCCCTTTATCGTGTCTGTATGTGTTGCTTTTTTTTTTTTTTTAGCTGCTGTGTTGCATGTGGAAGGACAGAATGTTTACTACCCAAAAATACTGAAGACGGCAGCGTCTGGAGGGGGCTCGCTTTCTGCTCAGTGGGGGTTCTGACCTCATCTCATCCAGTCAGGGTTCTGGTTCTCTCTGCCCCTCCCCCAGTTTGTCCCCTGTGAGGATAGGAAACGGGAGTGTGGTTCATGTTTTCCGTCTCTAGTAGGATGCATGTTTTTGTTTAGTTCGTGTTGAGTCGCATGATAACGTACAGTAGGAATGAATATTCGGGATTCTGTTTCAACTTTGTGCGTCTGCAGCAGCGTCTGTTCAGAGCTCCATGAGCTTCCTGTCTGTAGGACTGAACCTCCTGTTACCACGGCAGCCTCATCGATATTCTGGCAGGGGAAACCATCAGGGTGTTTAACACAATCGATACCCTGGCGTCCGCGTGTGTTTCACAGTAGGCGAGTGCAATAAAACTTTCGGTATCGAGGTAATGCGAAGTCACAAAGCCCTGAAATCCAATGTCTGTCTCGGTGTTGTCACAACACAGGTATCGCTGGTAAGATGAGGTCGCTACACACACGGAAAGCCCCGAGGGCCAACGACAACAAACAAAAGCTGCAGCCTGTTTTTTCCACTGCTCGACCCCCACCGTGTCGCTCGCTCGCCACGTGGCTGCGACCGGCCCACTCCAATCTCATGTCGGCAGCTGTGCACAGAGATGCTTTCAGCTAGGAGAGGTTGAATACAATCAAAATAGTAATACTTGGATAGAGACAGACTAAAACACATGCATTCTCATCTCTGGTCTTGTAATACTCGCCCCTGGACACCAAGCTTAAGTCGGTGCTCTTCCTCTGAGAGGAATCACGGTTGTCCTCTCGATACACCGGGCACAGGGACGTGACCCTTTCCTGACCAAATTTATGTCACTCCCAAGCAGATGTTTGCACACCGATAGGTGTGAAAACTGTAACACTCGTTTGTGTCTCCTCACTCTACACTCCGACAGGCTCGTATTAGACAAAACCCGCCCACCCTGGGTTCATCAGCAAGTTAAAATTGATCACAACTAACTTCCCTGCTGTGCAGATGTATAATTTGGGCTTCTTAGGGTATTTGCTTAAAGAGTAAACATTTCCTTCAGAGGATGAAGGAATATTAACCTTTTAGTTTGTGCAAGGAAAAGTTTAGGTAAAGCATTTCAGATCTTATTTAGTCTTCTACCCATTTCTTAAAGATCGTCTCTGTCAGAGGTCAGGTTGTACTCTTAGTGCTTCATGTCTGGATCCATGAATGTCAATCAATCAATCAATCAAGGCTTTATTCGCCACGTGCAGGTTGCCCTGCAGTGAAATGGGACCCCCCCCCCTCCGACCTTACACACACAACACAGACATCACATGGGGATACAGGTCGATACAGAATGTAGGCTTGCCACAAAGTTTAGTTTTGCTATCAGTGAATCTGAAGCATTTTAAGCCTACGGGCAGCTCACATCTGTTGGTGTCACTCACATTTTTGCAGTCTGACTGTGGCGCTGGTAAAAGAAGTGAGTTTAAACGCGTGTTAAACAGAAAACGACTGCACCGCTGACAAGTCTGTTTTTGGGGCAAAGACAGGAAGTAAATGGAGCTTTAAACAGCGTCTGGACCGTCTGCCTGTGTTTAAGACAAATCTTAGCTCCTTTCTCAGACTTTATAACTTTATAACATAAACTTAAATCAGCTGTCAGTGACATCACACAGCCAGGAGCGGAGAAGATGTTTGATCTTCACCATCAACATCATTGCTCTCTTCTCTGCTGTGTCTGATTGGCAGGCATCAGTGTGGCGGCCATGCTGAGGTTTACGGGAGACTGATGATGTCACCAGTCAGCCCATAGATTTAAATCCACTGTGTTCCCGCTGCCGCTTAGTACTTCCTGCTCGTCTGCAGATTACTGTCTTAAAAGAAGAAAGACTCATCCTCCAATCAGAAGCAGCGGTGCGTCTAATCCCCTCTTAGTCTGACTAGCAGCCATCAACCTATCTCTGAACTAGGACACGTTATTGAAGTAATGTGCTACTACTGCCATATTTCCAACTTTTGTCATGACTAGGTTTCCCCACTGATGAGCTTTTTCTATGTAACTCAGAGCCATATTTTATAGGTTGTCTGTATTGATTTTTTTTTTTTTTAAATCTCATTGTTATCGAGGTTTGCTTTGGACTTTCTCACCCCTCACCCTTTCTAACCCCGTCCCAGCACACACCCTCTCTCCTCCCCTGGCCCTTTTACTTCAAACACGACCAAAAAAGAAACAAAAGAAGAAAAAAAAACAAGGAGAAAAATCTTCAGTCGTCACTGCCGAACCAAGTTAAAAGGACCTCTACAATGTTTACATGAAAAGCGAGTCGGTGGCAGTTCGTCTGCGCTTCTCTCATCCGACCACTTCCCTTTCACTCCCTTGTTTTCCTGAATCTTAGAGTTACTATTTAACTAAATGGGGAATCTTTCTTGCATGGTTTTCATATAAAATTCAATGTTTTGCTCATTTTTTACAATTCTTCTGTATTTTTATATTAAGTACTTTTTAATATTTTGGAGATATATGAATATATATGTATAGGCTGAAGAGTTTGGTGACAGTACCGTACATGAATGAGATGAACCTACCGTGGACTCTGTCTTTTTACAGCTCTCTAAATATTTCTGCCACGTGTGTCGTCTTGGTCACCTGACGTTAGGGCTCAGAAACCTGCAGTGACTTGTTTACTTCCTGTCGCCCAATCAATTGGAATCTGAACAGTCTAGTCCCATCAGCCCCCTTTTACATGAGTATAATCACTTTACCTGAGATGTTGTGACACACTACACGTCAAGTGATTTTTCGCAATTATCCAACTCCATTAGAGTTCAGAAAATGCATCAGCTAACTGTATCAAACATTAAATGGGAGTGTATAATTATTTATCCAACCTCTGGGTTTGTTTGTTTCTCTGCTTTGAAGCTACAGCGACTGATTTCTTTGAATGAGTGGATTGATGCTGTTTTCCAGCTTGCAGGTGTCGGAGCTGACGACTTTAAAGAGGATCAAAGCTGTGTCCCACGTCATGCTCCGCCTCCGTTTTGAAGGGGCAGTGGTCCGTGAAGGCACGCCCACCTTTGTCCAAATTGACTTCCCAACCCCTCTGCGAGAAAAACCTCCGAAAGTAAGCTCCATGTAGTTGTAGTCAGTACAGAGACGGACCAAAAGCAAGCTCTGACCTCCCAGACTCAAGGTCAAAGACTTTAAGCTTAATTTGAAGTCCTGCATTGAATCGCCACAAACCCCAGAGCGGCCATCTTTGCTTTTACTAGCTGAGCTGCTCACGTTGGACTCTGAACATCATTTACTTTTACTTTAAAGCAGGAAGAAGGGAACTGAGCTGTAAAAATGAGAAAACGCCATGTACACTGGCAGAATACCAGCCATTGCATTAGCATTGTGATCGCACTAGATACAATCACAGCCTATTACATTTGGTTCAACAGAGGCATTAACAGAGTGCTAATCAATGGGTTTTACAGTGTATGCACAGCAAACACAGGCGACAGAGAAAGAATCGTGGGACAAGTCTAACTTCTTTATTGAAAATCTTATTCTGGGGCAAAGTTGAAAAATGACTTTTTACACTGTTTTTTTCAAAATAAATGCCCATGTAAGGGCTTGCAGGATAACGAGTTCTGTGAGTTGCTTCAAGAAAGACTTTGGTACCACCGAGTAGACCAATCCTGTGTCGTGCACAGGATGGAGTGTGGATTCAGTGCTGTACTCTAAGTCAAGCTTTAGGTAATCTTAGTGTTGCTGTAAGTCTTTGAGCCCTCGTCCAAAATTGTCACAAGGCGTGGTCTGGTTAGCTCTAAAATTTAGCGCTCTGCCCAAACCTGGTTAGACTGAATGTATTTGAGCCCACAGCGACTTGGCTTTGTGTTCAGGATTCGGTCACTGGTTAAACTTATAAAGGTGAGGCTTCACTTTTTAGAGTTAATATTTATTACAGCATCCAGGAACAGCAGGAGCTTTATGAATTTATTTGAGGCGTTAATGTGCATGGTTGCATATTGGGGGTAAAGGGGGACTTGTCTGTAAGAACCCTAAGAAGTTTCAATCCGGCCCTGGACCACAGTTTTTGTTTTTGTGGTCATGAAATTCAGATCTTGGAGGAGGCGGAGCCTGTGGAGGGACACAGCTGCAGCTGTGGAGGTCATCACCGTTTTATATGCGACTAACAGCTTTCAGAAACTGTTTCCGGGAAGAGAGAAGGAACTTAAGAGCGCTGGTGACATCACTTCCTCTTCCCGCCACGTGTCCGTTGGCTGTAAACGAGACATGCCCTCCAAACGATGACGTGTTTCCTCTTTGTTTTGTCTAACTGCTCAACACCTGCACTCCTCCTTAGAGTCAGTACAGTGTAAATATTGTCAAATAAGTGAATGAAGTGTACCTGCTGTCTGTGTCGGTGACAGGAAATGGGAGAGGGGGCAATCAGCCAATCATCACCCAGCAAAGCTTTAAGAATGTTCTGCCAAAGTCGTCTTTTTCTTCTGCACAACTTTGTCACCGCCTCCCCTTGCCTCGCTTCTCCTCCCTCCTGTCTGGATAAGAGTGCCCCCCACCCCCCACCCCACCCCGTGCTCTCGCCATCGCCTCACTGTGGCCGCGGTGGTCATGTGTTGGACTGCTTGGACTGGTTGCCCCTCACGTCTCATGCCAGCTGCACAAGCAGAGCCATGCAATCAGAGACTCTGCGGCGGCCTGTTTGTGCTACTGGTTTCAGCCACGTCGCAAACAAAAAAAACAGTCCGGACGAGACTCAGCAGACTGAAAATCCTCACCTGGATTTAGTTTTTCGAAAGTTCATTTCTGGACTAGATAAGATCTCATTTTGCCACAGATCTTCTTCTTTTTTTTCTTCCCTCATTAGGACTTCTGTATGGAGAAGGAACTCGCGTCTTATCCGGTCACTGTTGCATTTTGACTGCGTTGCTTCTTCTTCTTCAGAGCACTGCCTTTTTTCACAACAGGAAATCTTTAAAGAACCTTCACAACCACATCAAACGTTAACAAAGAAAAAAAAGGGGTTCAGTCGAACTGGAATATCACAGCTGGAAAAGTCATAACCATTTAACATATATATCTATATATTTATATAGTATATCTATGTATTTATATCTAATATATATTTGTATGTATATATGTATTAGATATAAATACAGAGATGTATAAGGTTTCTCAGTTGAACTTCATTGCAAAAAAGACTGAAAGTTTTTTTCTGTAATTACTATGATACACAGTAATAGGCGTTGGTGTTATTTTTGTATAAACATAATATCATCTATGTGGCATGCATGACATATATACAAAATTTGGTGGTTTAAAGCAATATGTCCAACCTGGTGCGATTGGTTTCCGTCGTGTTCTGTGTATCCTAAAATCACTCTGTACGGGGAAAAAAGATAAAAAAACAAAAAAACCAAACAAAAAAAAGAGAAACTGCATTTGGATAAAACTAACTGTTCAGTATATGTGTTCAATGTTCTGTGTTCTGCATGTTTTAGTATGGAATGAAACATCCCAAATGTTGACTTGTTTTCCAAATGAATCTCAGTTACGCGCCTCCCAACACATGCAGCATTACACACACACACGGGTATGTGCACTGTGAGGTGAAACACTGAGGAAATTAAAACTGTGCGAGTTCTGGTGGATGGATTGATGAAAGATGAAGGTTCTTTTTTTTTTTTCATCATCTCATTTAACACATCAGTCCACTCATCACGTCTCCTTATTCTCTTTCATATCACACAAACACTCACTTTTACAGACTCTCCTGAACTCATCACCCTCTTGTGTGCAGTAAGAGGAGGAGGAGGGAGGAAGGTGATGGCAATTAAACAGGCCTGAAACATTCAGCATGATGTGGTTCAGGTGGGCGTCCATTCATCCCACCGATCACATTCATCGATCCATTATCCTCCTGAATCTCTCTACAGGCTACGCTGGACAGAAAAATGAGGATAATGGAGTCATCATGTGATATGATTTAGGGATTTGAACTGGGTTTTTTTAGCTGTGAAATGTGGGCTCTACCTTGTTTCCCCATTTCCATTTACCCTCCATGTAATACAAAGAAAAACAGCCACGTTTCATATTTTAGTGTTAAACTCTCAAGCGGCACCTAATTGTGTCGAGCGGCGTGCAAAATGCCATAACGTTTCCTGTTTGAAGACACAAAATAAATCCTTTAGTCCTTCAGTTTCCACAAAAGAGAACGACATTTTACTTCAAGCCTACATTAATAAACAGCTGCAGCTTAGATACAAACAATTATGGACTCGATGTTTATTTATTTTGTTTTTATCAGGCTGTAGAATTTAGCATCACAGTGGAAAGGACTGCGTTAAAGTGCATGAAGCATGAAATCTGACAGCAGGCTCGCTGACAGGATTAAAGCAACACTGAGGTCATGAACACAATTCAGCCCCAGCGCAAGCAAAGATAAAACGTTTGTCTCTAATTATTTTGATCCTTATTAAGTCTGCAACTCTGTTATCAGCGTTCTGTTTCTCAACATCATCGAGTAAACTTGAAACTTGAAATTAATGCCTAAAAGTAGTGAAAAGTTCCAAACTGCATTTCTTCCTTTCTTGTAAAGCACTGTTTATGTGTCCAAGTTGTAATACTTTAGTTGAATTAATATGAATCAAAACAATGTTAAAAAGTGCTTTACAAAAAACATGTGATGCGACGAGATTAAACAAAGATAAAAATCCCAAAATTCAACCATGCTCTATCATCACAGCTGACCAGTGTTGGTTATCTGGTCGGCTGCTTTGGTCCAGACTAGAATATCGGAGTAACCGTTGGACGCTATGTCAGAACTGAAATCTCTGCACAAATATTCGTGACTCTCGGACAGGGAATCTTCTCCCTCTGGGATAAAGGAACACCGTGATAGATGAGGGAGCCTGGCTGGCTTCAAAAATCCTTCACACTGACTTTCCCTTCAGTGCTAACACGAGGGTGACATTTTAGTGAAATATCTGGACACTTTATTGGACATGGACATTAGACATGGAGTTTTGCACAAAACATTTGGTGTCCCCCTTTGAATGAGGTGTAACAGCTTTGGTGGTCCTTTAGCTTTCCATCGGCTGAAACGCAGAGGTCGTGACCTCTGTGTCTTCGGTCCTGTCTGCTAGACTCTGAGCCGCAGTGGTGGTTTGTTGTTTGAGCCAAAATAAAACGTCCTGTGCTTCCCTGAGTGAGTGTGTTCGTGTGGATGTATTGGCTCGACAAAGGTGTGTTTCCTCAGTGCGTGTGTGTGTGTCACCTTCCCTGTTGTTCACTCCCATCCTGTCCGTTCCTGTCAGACACCCTCCTCCTGTTTGCTTCAATCTATGCAACAGAATCCTTCAGTTCGCCTCCAGTGGTTCATCCGGTTTCTCTCCCTCGCGCTCTCACTCTGTCCGCTCGTCTCCGTCTTTATCTGCTTTTTGTGTTCCAGTTCTTTGTACAGACAGAACCACGACACCACCTGTACACTGATATATGTCTGTGTGTGTGTGTGTGTGTGTGTGCGCGCGCATGTGTGTGTTTGTGTACAGCAGCTGTGTGCACACAGATGCACATACACACGCGCACACGTTTTCTTTACTCTTTTGTAAAATATGAACATGTGGAATGCCTTGGTCTTAGTGTCATGTCGTTTGAACTTAAGCTGAACAAAAGATGATAATCAAGCAACTGAGTACAAGTTGTTACATAAAGATATATATATATAATATATAAATATATATATATATATAAATATATACAAATCTATACACATAAAATAAAGCCATTGAAATTTGAAATAAAGCTGTGTCAACTTGTGATTTGATTTGATTTTTTTTTTTGTCAGATTTTGAATGTCAGGTTTTTTAAAAATAAAAC